ATCCTGAGGGTTTCCTCAGCTCAGAGCCTGAGCCCAAACATTGATGAACTTGCACCCAAGATGAGATGCCAAGTATCTGCTTGAACTAGCATCACAGAGTCAGCACACTGAGTTTAATGGATGTTTCCTTCTGTCACTTTTTTTCTTGCGACAACAGGGCATGTTTGTTTTTTTCTTTGAGGGAAATATTTTTTTTTAAGCTTGTGGAAAAATATAATCATAAGAAATGACTCGGGGGAAGCTGCAGATAGAGCCATAAGAAATGAATGCAACTGATTATTTAATGTTTAATGTTGTTTTTATAGGCAATCATTTTAGCTTTGTTAGTTCCAGGTTTAATATGTGCAATAAGTTCATTTCAATAAGTTTTGCAATAAACATTGAACCTCGACTGGTACCGATTTTTTTATTTTGGCCCACTGTGTATTTGAGTTTGACACCCCTGATCTAGGCTAATGCTAATTGAGGCTGCATGGTGCTTTTTGCCGGCACTCACCTGTGGCGGCCTCAGGCCGAGGAAGAGCGGGGCTTTTTGGTCCTTTGCAGCACAAAGGAAACCAAACGACATTAGTGTTATACACAAAAGGGTAATACTGTACTTAATGACAACACGGTACAAGAAGCACTAGGAGGAGCGTATGGTGGTAATACTGCAGCCGAGCAGTGAAGCCTGAGATGCTGGGAGTCTGAATATCTTTCTGCCGGATGGATTACTGCAGCGGAGCCCACATTAAAACCATTTTAAGTCTGGACAAAAGGGATTTTCCTTTACCCCGTGTTATCTCCCCATGAAAAGACTAGGATCACCATATCTATACCCGTTTAGTGCATTATAAAGTGATTCAAACAGACTTGATCTGATGCACATTGTCCCTATTGCAAAACTTTTAGACTCAAACTAAATTATTACCAGCAACAGAAAACACCAAAGTATTACAAAGGGAAATGACTGCTCTACTTGTCATTCCTTTTTGTAATCATAACAATAGTTCATATGGATACATTATAAGTATAAACACAACTCAAAAGGAAGTTGAAAGAAAACAGTCAGATGTCATTTAAGTAAGCCAAATATATTTGTCCAACAGCCTACCAAACACATCTCTCTCTCTCTTACAAACACAAAGGCCTGATAAGGCCCAGAATAAATAATTAGTCAACAGTGAACCATCAATGTCAATACAGGCATTGATGACTGGGTCAAGGACAACAGCAATCAGGGGACATTTAAAGCCTGTCCAGTTACCTTCACTTCTTCTCCTACCAAACGGTGAGCGAGGAACTTGGCAATAGTCTTAGATTAAAAGAGGTAAACAATATTTTTTAATATGAAAAAACATAAACATTGTGAGTTACCAGCTACTCTATTTATCTACTCCTACGTTAAATACATTCGGAAGAGGCGGCAAAACCCACAGGAACACCTAGACTAGTAAATAACAACACTTGTATAGTACTCACAGATATACAGTGGGGCAAAAAAAGTATTTAGTCAGCCACCAATTGTGCAAGTTCTCCCACTTAAAAAGATGAGAGGCCTGTCATTTTCATCCTAGGTATACCTCAACTATGAGAGACAAAATGAGAAAAAAAAATCTAGAATATCACATTGTCTGATTTTTAAAGACTTTATTTGCAAATTATGGTGGAAAATAAGTATTTGGTCAATAACAAAAGTTCATCTCAATACTTTGTTATATACCCTTTGTTGGCAATGACAGAGGTCAAATGTTTTCTGTAAGTCTTCACAAGGTTTTCACACACTGTTGCTGGTATTTTGGCCCATTCCTCCATGCAGATCTCCTCTAGAGCAGTGATGTTTTGGGGCTGTCGCTGGGCAACACGGACTTTCAACTCCCTCCAAAGATTTTCTATGGGGTTGAGATCTGGAGACTGGCTAGGCCACTCCAGGACCTTGAAATGCTTCTTACGAAGCCACTCCTTCGTGGCCCGGGCGGTGTGTTTGGGATCATTGCCATGCTGAAAGACCCAGCCACGTTTCATCTTCAATGCCCTTGCTGATGGAAGGAGGTTGTCACTCAAAATCTCACGATACATGGCCCCATTCATTCTTTCCTTTACACGGATCAGTCGTCCTGGTCCCTTTGCAGAAAAACAGCCCCAAAGCATGATGTTTCCACCCCCATGTTTCACAGTAGGTATGGTGTTCTTTGGATGCAACTCAGCATTCTTTCTCCTCCAAACACGTCTAGTTGAGTTTTTAACAAAAAGTTATAATTTGGTTTCATCTGACCATATGACATTCTCCCAATCCTCTTCTGGATCATCTAAATGCTCTCTAGCAAACTTCAGACGGGCCTGGACATGTACTGGCTTAAGCAGGGGGACACGTCTGGCACTGCAGGATTT